ATGCAATATATTACTGTTGCCAGCTATAAACCAGTGTATTTTATATGTGTAAATAATATTTTAAACATTCAAAAAATGTTAACAGATCAAATTAATGTTCAAGCAAGAGGAGATACGCCTCCTTAAATTATCGGAATTTATGTTATGAAACTATTTTATTAGATGTTGTCACTGAGATTTATGTGATAGATGGTCAGAATTTCAAGACCTACAAAATGATTTTGTTAGGTGATTGTGATTTTGTTAAATTTAAACAAACTTTAAAAAAAAAATTCTCTTAATTTGCTGTTCTTTTCTGAGATCCGCATTCCTCATGTTGTGCCATATCCTTCATTAAGAACCTAGGTTTAGAGGCTTCATAGAATCACAGAATCAAAGAGTCATTTAGTAATATAAGCTAAATATAGAAAAAGCAATTCTATGGAGAATAGATTTTGAAAATGAGTTTGAATTATCAGAAAATGTCCTATTTTAGTGTTTCTTATATATTTTCTGATAACTTAAACTCATTTTCAGAATCCATTTTTCATTGAACTATCATCTACCTTTTCTATGAGCTCTAGCCACGAAAGGCTTCCAAGTATGCTTCTTTCTTGGAAAGTGTGTTTGTTAGTCTTAACTTCTGCATTAAAATCAGTCATATTCCTGCTGAAGCTTGTTTGGATTAAGATCCATTTCCAGTAAAGTTTGAGTGCAACTTCTTGAACATTAATAAAAAAATAACACTTCTACCAAGGTACAAAAAATACCAGGATCATCCAGAAAAAGAGCTGTCCTCATTCATTTCATAGAAATTAATGAAATTATCTTATTCTTGTTAAATGAAATCATGAGCATGCAAATTCCATGTTATTTAATCAATTGAGAAAATATTTTCTTCTCTGAACAATACCTTACAATACTTATTTATCATGTAAACAAATATGATGCAGAGATGTAACATTAAGTGTACTCAGGTACATAATACTGATAAAGTTAGAAATGTGAAAAAAGCTTGTCAATTGATATCTGTAGTAAACATTTCCAGAATGTTTTAAGTTTACATCTGACTGTAGGAATTAGACAAGAATCCCTAATTATTAAGAATGTACACATCTCAGTATACATGTTTCAGTGTTTGGTTCTCAATTTTCTCTCCCCATCTGTTTGCAAAACCAATTTATGTCTTCAAATGATATATATAAATTGTAATATATATGTATATATATAAATTGTAATATATGGATTTCACTGTTTAAATCAAGCAGTGACAAAGTCAGCAGTTTGCTCTTTGTTTATGATTATGTAAGCTTTTATAACCGTCTGATGATGAGATACATCTAAGGAGATGCTAAGGAGCAAACCAAACTACTAAGTAACACATTTGTAAGTATCCCCAAAAAGCAAGCCAGTATGCATGTAAACTATAACTCATGAGTGATGAGGGACTCTGCAATAACACACTGCTGTAAACAGCTGTTTACAAACACACTGGCAAAGTAACCAGATAGATACACATAGACTGCATTATGCTAGACATGAGTGTCTCTCAAAATGTGAAGCTGAGTATTCAGAGTTGAGGAGCACATGAATGACCTGTAACAACAAGGCAAATTGCCCTAAAAATTGCCCTATGCAAGAAAAGGAAATTTTAAGTAGCATTTCAGCACAATTTCACTGAGCTACTTAAAATCTGGTATTTCTCTCCAAGGAGTTAGTTCTGATATTCTCATTCGAAATTATGAAGAAAAGAGTTGTATTTTTTAATATTTGCCAGTAGTCATGTGTAATAATGTACTGCAAAAATTTGAGCAAAAAAATCCTTTCTAAAATACTTAAACAGCAGAATTCTTATTTTAAACATTGCATGTTTTGTGAAATTTGTAAAATCATCCCATTTTCTCTCTCTTCTTAAAGTTTCCCTTTGGACCCACTGATATAATAACTTTTGAGAATGAGGGGATGGCAGGAATTTTATTTTATTTTTTTAATAGAAACTTTCAAATAATATTAAAATCTCTGTGTATAATTTCATAATATACTGACTTTTCTGATAAAAATAGAAAATAAAATAGCTGATGAGTTACAGTACAGTCCTAGAACAAGTGAGAACAACAACTTTTTGATATTGACTTCAGTAAGTGGAATCTGATATAGTTATGTTATAATTGGTATTTTGAAAACGAATTCACCTCTGCTGTGTTTGAGAATAAAGAGAAAGATGTAAAGACTAAGTGATATAAAATGAATAGTTTGCCATACTCAGCTTTTTAATATTATTAGAAATAAATTTTGCAACCATTTCTTTAAAATTTGTGTACTTTCTATTGCTTGTTATTTATATTATTCTTTTGAAACCATACAATTCAGACTGCAGTTCCAAAAACTTGATTGTCCTCCTCCTATCATTAATTATCAAACTTTATACACTTTCACAGTGTTAGATAGACCGGTTATCGCCATCAAGAAATATCTGTACCATTGGCTTCTCCACAGCATTATGAAACAACTAATAACACACTACAAGTTGTTAAATAACTCCTTTTTCATCACAGATTAGAAATGCTGCATCACATTTTGCAGATAGTCCAGTTCTTGCTGAAGTTCTGTCTCTGTGTTATTCAATGTCACATCAGACTATACCTTATAATACCTTCAGGGAAATTTCACTTCTTGTACATTCGTTATCTGGACATAAAAGGGAAGAATTAATGATCCAAGAGAACACTGAACACACGCCACACACTTGTGTGTCAAGTCGTATGAGTGGAATATAATTCAGAAAAAGCAGCATTCTTATTTAAATGTCTCATCTATTCTTCATTTAAATAGGAGGAATATAATATTCTGTCTTTTGTTTCTTTACCAAATGCATAAACAAATAATTTTTTGGTCCTGTAAAAAGGATCAAATTGGATTATATAATTTGATAAAGATTAAAAAAAGTGTGAGTGACAACACACACAAATATTAAGCACCTCTTATATACATGGTATGCTTAAAACATCTGTGCTATAAAGGGAACATTACAAATTACAAATTGACTAGGGGTATAAACCCATGAAATATGCCATCATTATTTTAGTAGAGATAATAATTTAGGGTTGCTGCTTTTTATTTTTGTCCTGCTGTTTCAAGTGTGTCGAACTGTAAAAAACAAGGTAGATCTGAAATAGCAATGCGCAAAGAATGTTAAACATTTATATATATATATATACACACACAACAATCTTTAACTTTTCTTGTTATAGAAGCTTGGTTTTAACTGTTTTGTTTGAATCTTTTGTTTTATTATGCAAAAAAAATAAAAAGACAAAACATCCATCTGTGACATCAAATGATAACTGATAGTCATTTGGTGACATCAACAGAAATTTTTCAATTAATTCTGTTACAAACCTAATCATTGTTGGGTTTTGTGTGTTTGTTTGTTTGTTTAATACAAATCACATGGATTTCTTTCTAACTAGCTGTGACTTGTCCAAGTACCCTTAATTATATGGTATCTTAAGTATCTGAAGAAGTGATAGCATTTGGAAAAGGTATGTAATATACCAGAGGATTTTCAACATAAATGAGAAAATTTGCCTTTAAGGGTTGTTTTGGGGATAACAATATTGTATTAAAAAACACCATAGCTCCTCCAGGATATGTTTTGTGTGATTCAGTGTGTCTTAAGTAATGAGAATTGCAGGGAGTGAAATAAATATTTCAAATAAGTGCATAGGTTCTGAAGACTTAATTTTGTTGCTAGTATGTTTTCATAGTGTGAAATCAACGGAGTGTATAACACCTATGTGCTTTTACAGTTCAAACAAAATATGTATGAATGTCTATAAATAATTTGCACAACTTTTTTTTTTTTGAGAGACAGCAGACAATTTCATACCAAGATTCACTGGAAGTTGAGTGAGGATGTACTGATATTAACAGGTCTTCTCTCAATTGCTCAGAGAGTACTAAATATAAATCAGACATACAGAGAGGCACCAGCAATCTACTAGTGGAATACATAAAGTTAAATTCAGATTACAGGTAATCTTCCCTGGGCTGTCTGTACATCCTGGGCCTCATATCTTTATTTTTATAAACATCTGGGCCAGAGGAAGGCAGGTAATATTTTACAAAATCATACTTTTCAGATAAGAATAAGGATCCTATAATTGATATTAGTCTAAACATGTGTATGAATAGCATTTGTTAGTTCCAGCAAGGGTTTAAAATTTCTTTAAATCCTATGTACAGGGACATATATATGATCATCATATTCCCCTCCCCCCCCCCCCCCCCCCCCCCGATTAAAATCAAATCTTACTGATTTTAATTTGAACAACAGAACTCTTTAGGCACTTTTTTTATACTGTACAAAAAAATAATACTTAAAATTCCTCTCTCATGCCATATGCATGTACTTAGATTTCCTCTGAGACTGACAGTCTCAGCAGATTTTGCACATATATCTTCTACATTCTGAAACATAAACCAGTTGTTTACAAAGCTTGCATACTGTCTTGGAAGACAAATCAAAAATTTCTGACATAGAATTGGAATGGTTACGGTTGGAAAGGACCTTAAGATCATCTAGTTCTAAACTCCCCTGCCATGAGCAGGGAAGCTGCACACTAAACCGTATCACCCAAGGCTCTGCCCAGCCGGGCCATGAACACCACCAAGAATGGAACATTTACCACTTCTCTAGGCAACCCATTCCAGTGCCCCACCACCCTCACAGTAAAGAACTTCCTTATATCTAACCTGAACTTCCCCTGTTTAAGTTTTAACCTGTTACCCCTTGTCCTGTCACTACAGTCACTAATGAGGAGTCCCTCCCCAGCGTCCTTGTAGGCACCCTTCAGATACTGGAAGGCTGCTATGAGGTCTCCACGCAGCCTTCCCTTCTCCAGGCTGAACAGACCCAACTTTGTCAGCCTGTCTTCATACAGGAGGTGCTCCAGCCCCCTGATCATCCTTGTGGCCCTCCTCTGGACTTGTTTCAACAGTTCCATGTCCTTTTTATGTTGGGAACACCAGAACTGTACACAGTACTCCGAGTGGGACGTGGTTTAAATTTTCTGTGTATTTCCTCCTTGAAGTGGTTTGCTGTACCAAGTGAAGTTGCCTGAAATCAGACCACTCAGAAACTGCAGTTCATTCCCTCAGAGGGAATCCCACCTTTTCTGTAGCACTTCATTTTCTGGCTTTTGATGTCGTGATATTAAAGACAACAATTATGAAACAGGTGAACAGAAATAATCCTCCTAATGAAATGGTGCATTTTTTCTAACCAACAACCATCATCAAGATCTTTCTGTACTATTTAAATGAAACAGATGAATCACCCTCAAAACTCAACTTCATGTCATTTATATGTGTTGCTTAAGACCTTTATCAAGTAAGGATTGAACAAAGATGAGATGATCAGATTTTCTAGAGGAAAAAGACAAAACAAAACTTTCCAAAAAGTAGAGGGGAAAGCACAAAAGCTGAAATCTAGGTAGATTCAGGGTTCCACAAATGAAAAAAGAAAGGGAATCTGAGGGGAAATCAGGAACATCCCTTACAGTGCCACAGTGCTCTGAAGAATGCCAGAAGCATTTGAATGCTGCACACAGGTTGTACCTGTGGAAGGCTCAGTGATTACACAACTCTGGCATGCACCCAGGTAGAATTTTCTCCACCCAATACTGTGATCAGCTCCTACTGGAGAGACAGCTGAGACAGAATAGGTGTTTTATCATATTACAGGGTGTTCATAAGACTCAATGAAATAATGACATTTCCAAGAAATGGAGAAATTTACTGGTTTTCCTTTTTTCAAATGTGACTGGAGGACAGATTTATAAGAGTTAAAAGGCTCACAAAAATAGGTATTTCAAGAACAGCTAAGCAGACAATATTGCATTTATATTTTTGTATCCAAATGTTGTTCATGTTCTACTTGCACACCCTTCAGAATCGCTCAGAAAATAGGAACGAGCAGCCTTAAGAATGTAATGTAAATCTGTGCCTTTGTAATTGTGGCTCTGTTTTCCAAGGATTCCAAGGAGCATGAGTTAAATAGCAGATCAGAGTGTAACAAACCCATGAACAGTGTTCCTTGTATTAACACTGCAATAAGGTAATCTTCTTGAGATTAGTTGCTTGCAGCTCCTGTTGAACCTTGTGACAAATTACATTGAAATTTTCCTAGAGAGACCCTTACTGACTTTAAGCCACATGATACTTAACGCAAGTCAAGTGAGATAGCGGTGGGCTTTTTGATTATATCTGTCTTGTCTGTGTTGTAGGTAGGGTTACCCTCCAGAGTCTACTGAACCACAACAGGCAGTTACTTGTCTCTGGCTAGTTTTCTCTAAGACAAATCTACCCAGGACTGGGCTAGTCACAAGAATTTTGGATTAAAATACAACAGGGCCAGTTTATCTCAGGGCTAGGAACTGTTCCCAGTCGTCTTTAATTTAGTAATGTAGACATAACCTGTTAGTTTTAATTGTCTTCCCTTGCCATTCCTACCCCTTTAAATTGGAAACACAGATGGAAAAGCAGCCAGTGTATAAAACAATTTGCATCTCATTTGCCTATTGTTAAATGATAAAGCAAACAGCATGTAGAAAGGCCTTAGGAAGAAGGAAAAAGAGGGTCTGAAATGGAAGAGTGCAGCCAATGAAGCAAATATTTCTCAGCCTGACAAATTCCATATGACCCCCAAGAAATATCACACTTGTGAAATTATAGGAGTACTTGACCTCCGTGCTGCTAGCTAGCAGCAGAAGGGAGGAGAAAGAAGTGGAGAAAAGACAGAAACAGCAACTTCTTTGAGCCTCTCAACATTTTACTGGATCTCCTATTTGGAAACACTCTATGACATTATGTCTTTGGTTGGGACAGTGCAAGAGATTCTTTGGCTTATGTAGTATCCTCTACAATTATTAAAGATTAATTATTAAGATGTGGGGACAAGTACAAGGAATTAAAAAAAATAAAAATAAAAGCTGCAGAACACTACAGGGAAGTTAGAGTATATGAAATAAAAATAACAAGACTCTTCCAGGTGCCTCTACTACCATTCAAGTTCAAAAAGGCAAAGAAAATACACTCTATCTGGAAACTGGTGCAATTTCCTGTGACCTTTGTCACATAATGTCTGCTGCTTTATCACCCCCAAAAAGTTAAATATTTGCAAGCTGTGGAGAATTTTGTGCAGATCTTTGTCAGGACCCTTGTCAAAAATAGATTTACAGTGCATCTTAAGTGCCAATATACTAGCTAGCGAAAGCCTGATCATAATGTCTGCTCTGCTTCCTTCATGGTATAGTCTAATTATTCTTTTGTTTCCTTTGCTAACACATATGGTCATATAAATGTGATATGCCTTTGACCATAATCTGAAGTTTAATTAGTTCAGTTATTGAAGAAGAAAAGCTAATAGCAAAAAGGGATGGTATAGAACGAGGGATACTTTATTTAGACTGGACATCTAAACTTGTCCTTAAAAGATACTGGGATATAATCTTTGTGTTTATAACCAGGACACTAAAGAAATACAAGAATAAGATATCTATAACATGAAAGTTGAATATGGACTAAAACTACTAATTTGATCCTTGATACATAAATGAATGACAACAGATAGAGTTCATATCATTAAGATCTTTGATACTATGTGTGACAACTCCTAAACTGTTGTGTCCAGCTCCAATATCAGCACCTCATAAAGAATGCAGACAACTTGGGAGAAGGCCAGAAGAGGACCCCCAGAACAAGAGAAATATCATTATGACAAATACCTCTTTTAGTTTAGCAAAGAGGGGTTGGACTAGATAACCTTTAAAGGTCCCTCCAACCCAAAGTATGCTATGATTCTATAATTTGGTGGATAAAGAACTGGCTGGATGGCTGTGCACAAAGAGTTGTGGTCAATGGCTCAATGTCTGGCTGGAGACCAGTAACAAGTGGTGTCCCTCAGGGATCGGTGTTGGGACCGGTCTTGTTCAGCATCTTTGTCGCTGACATGCACAGTGGGATTGAGTGCGCCCTCAGCAAGTTTGCCGATGACACCAAGCTGTGTGGCTCAGTTGATACATTGGAGGGAAGGAATGTCATCCAGAGGGACCTTGACCCGCTTGTGAGGTGGGCTGATGCCAACCTCATGAAGTTTAACCATGCCAAGTGCAAGGTCCTACACCTGGGTTGGGGCAATCCCAGTCACAGCTACAGGTTGGGCAAAGAAGAGATTCAGAGCAGCCTTGCAGAGAAGGGCTTGGTGGTGTTGGTTGATGAGAAATAATATGAGCCAGCAGTGTGAGCTTGCAGCCCAGAAAGCCAGCCGTATCCTGGGCTGCATCAAAAGGAGCGTGACCAGCAGGAGAAAGGAGGTGATCCTGCTCCTTTACTCTGCTCTCATGAGACCTCGCTTGGAGTATTGTGTGCAGTTCTGGTGTCCCCAACATAAAAAGGACATGGAACTGTTGGAACAAGTCCAGAGGAGGGCCACAAGGATGATCAGAGGGCTGGAGCACCTCCCTTATGAAGACAGGCTGAGAAAATTGGGTCTGTTCAGCCTGGAGAAGAGAAGGCTGTGTGGAGACCTCATAGCAGCCTTCCAGTATCTGAAGGGGGCCTACAAGGATGCTGGAGAGGGACTCTTCGTTAGACTACATTGATAGGACAAGGGTTAACGGATTCAAACTTAAACAGGGGAAGTTTATATTGGATGTAAGGAAGAAATTCTTTACTGTAAGGGTGGTGGGGCAGTGGAATGGGTTGTCCAGGTAAGTTGTTAATGCTCCATCCCTGTCAGTGTTCCAGGCCAGGTTAGACAGAGCCTTGAGTGACATGGTTTAGTGTGAGGTGTCCCCGCCCATGGCAGGGGTGTTGGAACTAGATGATCTTAAGGTCCTTTCCAACCCTGACTATTCTATGATTCTATGAATCTAATTCTGTGATTGACACTATGATAAAATATTAATTGATGGCTTGGTTTGTCCTTCAGAACAAACTTGTATGTGTGCATTAAGTATTGACACCGGGAAATCAAATATGGTAACTGGTTTACAGCTGAGGTGACAATAACATTTTAGACCAGAAAAGCTGGGAATTGAATCTATGCATATAAATAATATTATAGATCAAATATATATTATATGAAGATACAGATCATTGTATTGAATTAACCTTCAAATATTTTTAAAAGAATTCTAGTAGACCCTTATTGAATATTTAAATCAAGTTGGGATATTTCCACACAAGATACAGTATTTCTGGCAAGTAGGGAAGGAACATGTGATAATCCCAGGGCATGCTTTATGCAGGAGGACAGACTAAACATTGGCCTTAAATGCTGCTGCCTTCTGGCTTTCATATCTGTGAATCATCAATCTGAGATTCTTTTGAATTGACTCAGTCTTTGCAAGGGGGAACTTGTAAGTTTAGTCTCTAACATCTGAACACTGACATAGTGTAGAAGCTATCAATAATGGTCATAGTTTAATGTCTATGCTACTGCGTTTCCCAGCCTTGGTTTAATAATCTCTGAATTACCGTGGATTCACTAGATAAATATCCAGGTTTTTCAATATACAGACTGAAGCTTTGAAATCTACATGCCACTTCTTGTCATACCCAGAAACAATATTGGTATTTTTTCAGCAGGACAAGGAATATCAGTCAGATGACTCTGGAAATCTAAGGTGTGAGTAGGTAGAATAGAAATCAAGAAGGGTATTTCTGTAGTTTACCTATCTTCACTCATTATTAGTAATGATCTATTCTTAAAATTCCATTCAGAGTGTATAAATGGCTGGAATACCAAACTTTAAACAATGGTCTAAACAAGCTAAAGGATCCAGTGATTAAACTATTATTTATAAAATTGTTGTTTGATGTCCTTGGAACAGAAAATAACAGGGGTATGTTTAGACTGATGTATACTTATCCACACACCACACATGGATAAGTCTTCTAAGCATTTTCTTTTTCCTTGAAATATCCCAGTGAAAGGAGAATCTCTAGCATTTCTCAGGCAAGTACAGTA